AAGAGTGGTGGACAGAGGGTGATATAAGATCAGAGTGAAAATTAAAACACCAGACAGGTGGATATGACTCATACCTGTGCACTGAGCTAAGTATCCCTACCCAACTCACTTCAGCTGAGTGTCATTTTTTGTGTCTGCATAGTGTTTCTTATGGAAGAAACTGCGTAAAGAAATACAAGACTTGCATTATACCAAATGATTCACTAATATATCAATAATGTTGGAACAAATTCACCTTTTCACAACAAGTGTTAGTACAAGTGTTAGTATCACTTGTTAGTGATAATCTAGCCAGGCTATGGATGGCCTTAAAAGTCACACAGGAAACAAGACGTCTCTTCTTAAATTACTCCTTTCCCTCCAATTATTGTTTGCAGGCAAGAAGTATGAATGTTTGTTACAAGTAAATTAAATAAAATGTACTTCTTGTATTAGTTTTCCAGGGCTGCCACAACAAATTACCACAAATTTGGTGGCTTAAAACAACAGCAATTGGCTGGGTATGATGACTCATGTCTAATCTCAACACTTTGGGAGGCCAAGGTGGGCCAATCAGTTGGGCCCAGGAGTTCAAGGCTACAGTGAACTATGATCAAGCCATTTCCCTCCAGCCCTGGACAACAGAGCAAGACTCTGCTCTCTATTTAAAAAAAAAGAAGAAGAAGAAATAGAAGAAAAGTATTTTCTCATAGTTTTGGAGGCTAGAAGTCTGAAATCAAGGTGTTGGCAGGACCATATTCTCTTAAGGTTTTAGGAGAGGCCGGACTCAGTGGCTCAGCCTGTAATCCCGCACTTTGGGAGGCCGAAGTGAGTGGATTGCCTGAGTCCGCGTGTTCGAGACCCGCCCGGGCAACTTGGTGAGACCTCATCTCTACAATAAAAATCCAAAAATTAGCCAGGCTTGGTAGCACGCGCCTGTAGTTCCAGCTACTTGAAAGACTGAGGCAGAAGGATCACTGGAGCCCAGCAGGTCAATGCTCGGGTGGCCATGAACGTGGCACTGCACTCCAGTCTGGGCGACAGAGTGAGACTCCAACTCAAAAAAAAAAAAAAAGATTCTAGGAGAGTATACTTTTCCTTGCCTCTTCCTAGCTTCTGGCAGTTGCCCACAATTGGCATTCTTTGACTGCTTGTAGCTGCATCATTCTAATCTCTGTTTCCAGTGCCACATGACCTTCTTAAAGAACACCAATCATTGAATTTAGGGCCTCCCCTAATCCAGTGTGACCTTATTTGAACTTGTTACATTTACAAAGGCTCTATTTCCAAATAAGGTCACATTCACAGATATTGGGGATTAGGACTCGAACATATCATTTTGGAGAATATAATTCTCTCCACAATACCTCGTCCCTACTCCACAGCAGACTTAAATTTTAATGAGTTTGTAAATATTCTCAAAATTTGATGTTTTCTCAGTCTTATTAAGCAGGAGTCTACCTGCTAGTGTTTATTAACAAAGACTTTGCCTAATGGTCACTTTTGAGTATTAAGGATTTTTTTTTTTCCTGCCTGCATTTTTAGTTTTTTCGTGGAGGTGATCTCTCTAAATGGAGAATGCAAATGTCTTGGGAGGGGAAGGGTAAACAAAAAGACCAAAAAACTGCAAGTAATTCATATGGGTTCATGTCTTTAAAGAAAAGACAAAAAGAATAATCTGAGCTCCGGAATATGTTTTATACAGCTACTAAGAGCACCTGTCTCTATCTAGGCCAGACACTCATACCTCCCAACCTCCTGCCCTGTCCCCATACTGCCATGCCTCAACCATGAGGACTGGGTCGAACATAAAAGGAAATGGCATGCTAGTTACCTGTGGTACACTCAGGTGCAATGTGCATCATCTCTGAACACATCAAGGGCAAAGGAATTATTACCCTTGACTTGGTTTTAATTGGTAATTGAAGATCCCCTCAATCACTTGACTCTTTCATTCCTTAACAGGAAAACAGTTTAGGAAGGAACTGAGAATCAACAGACATGAAAAGAAAGTCAGACATTTGACTCAAAGATCTCAAGGTTATGAGAGTCTTCCAAAGGTCATGTTGTTTACTTAAGGCAGCCTTCCCTTCTGTGGCATCTGGGAGAAGTGTGTGTCAGCCAGCCTGTGTCTGCAATCTTTCAGCTGACCAATGGGTGGAAAAGTTTTTTAAAAAGATAATTATTTTCACAATATTTTCTGTCTCGTGTTTTACATTTCCAGGGGACTCTGGGTATGCCACAGCTTATAACAATGAAAGGAGACTGGTTGCGGTGGCTCATGCTGTAATCTCAACAATTTGGGAGGCAGAGGCAAGAGGATTGCCTGAGCCCATGGGTTCGAGAACAGCCTGGGCAGCATGACGAGACCTCATCTCTACAATAAACTAAAAAATTAGCTGGGTGTGATGGTGCATGCCTATAGTTCCAGCTATTTGGAAGACTGAAGTAGAAGGATCACCTGAGCCCAGCAGGTTTAGGTTGCAGCGTGTCACTGCACTCTGGCCTAGGTGACAGAGTGAGACTCTGACTCAAAAAAAAAGGAAGTTACTTCCTTTCCTTCCCTCTAAATCTGTTCTCTTTAAACCTTAAAGAACTTTTGATCCTTCGGATGGAAATGATATACTGGAGTTTGTCCCTAGCAATGAGCTAAGGATTCATTCTTGCATCTGTGGTCCCATTTTGCTGTCCTCTCTGCTCTTGAGCTCAGTTGTGTCCTCACCCAGCATACTTGGCCACATCTTTGTACAACTTCCTTTCTTGCCTCATTCAAGTGTTTGCTCAATGTCAGTTGCTCAGAGAAGTCTTTCTACCTAAAGTTGCCCCTGTCTCCTTCCTAATGCTTTCTCCGTTTATTCTGCTGTTTTGTTTTCGCCAGGGCACTTACCACTGACTGATCACCTTTAATCAATGTTCATGGTCTGTTTCCCCCATGAGGGTTAGCTCCAAAGGTTAGCATCTTTGCTTTGTTCATGTCCCTACCTTTAGTACCTATAACAGTGCTTGACTTACAGTGGGTGCTCAGTAAACATGTGTTAAGCGAATCTTTTCTTGCCTGTGTCATTTTATTTTGAACAATCAACATAGTCTGATTTTGCATTGGACAGTTGACAGAGCTGTTGTGATAGTCTGTGTGAATTGGTGGCCTGATTCTTAGAGTTCCACTTCACAAAGTCTATCAAGAGGTGGTGCAGATCCCAGACTTGCCCATAAATGCGCTGTTCTGTAGGAAACTGAGTTCCAGAAAGAGACACAGCATACCTCCCCTTGCCCAGGACATAACAGCAGCAACCCCAAGAGTCCTGTTTGCAGTGAGGGCTTGCTGGTGTCTTGAGGAAGAGGTAGCAGTGCTCCAAGCTGGGGATACCTGGTCTAGGAGAAAGGCAGGGCTGGGATTAGAACAGCTTCAAAGAACTTCATGCGCAAGAATAAGAGAAGTGACTACTGTCATAGCTACTATTTTTGTCTGATGTAGTTAGGCAAGGACTCTAGGATGAAGTAGACTTTCGTAACTGTGGCTCCTGAATGGTGGGAGCTCCAGCAGATTCCAGGTCAAGACTTCTCCAGAGTCAGTGCCCACAGTCTGCAGTGCATCCCACAGTCTTTTATTGTCTTCTCCATATGCCAGGTCCTATGCTAGTCCTGCAGATACAGCAGTAAATTCTGCAAATCATTGGTCAGAGTTTTGAGACAGTTGCGTCATGATTTGCAAAAGAAACATCTCAAGCTGTGGCAAACAGGTAACTGGTTCTTCTACCATGACAACACTGAGTGTTCGGCTTTTGACCACAAATGACATGACTCCCATGCCCCAGTATCCCTATTCACTTGATATCACCCGGAGTGACTTTTTTTTTTGTTTCCCTGGATGAAAAATGTCCTCAAAGAGAAATGTTTTGTTTATGGGGAAGAGATGAAACTTAATGGCAGAAGCACTGAAACTGAAAACTGTTTTGAGCAGTGGAAAAGCATCTCAATAGCAGTATTTCATCAAATGGAAAGTACTTTGAAGGTGACCAAAGTTTGAACATACAAGGATAAATACACAATTTTTAATCAATAAATTCTTGTATCAGTAGCATTTCAAAAGAATTAGGGTCTCCTAAATGTTTTATGTCAGGGCAGTGACTTTTTTTTTTTTTTTTTAAGTCAAACCTATCATCTATCAGCTGGGCTTGGTGGCTCAGCCTGTAATCCCGCGCCTTGGGAGGCTGAGGTGAGTGAATTGCCTGAGCCTGCGGGTTGAGACCCGCCTGGGCAATTTGGCGAGACCTCATCTCTACTTGGAAGGCTGAGGCGGAAGGATCGCCAGACCCCAGCAGGTCGAGGCTGTGGTGGCCGGGAGCGGCCACTGCACTCCAGTCTGGGTGACAGAGTGAGAGTCCAACTCAAAAAATAAAAAAGAAAGAAAAAAAAAACCTATCATCTATCATTATTACCTTTATTTCATAAAAGAAAGGGCATTTGGCCGGGCGCGGTGGCTCAAGCCTATAATCCCAGCACTTTGGGAGGCCAAGGCGAGAGGATTGCCTGAGCCCAGGGGCTCAAGACCAGCCTGGGCAACCTGGTGAGATCTTGTCTCTAAAAACACATCAAAAAATTAGCCAGGCATGGTAGCACATACCTGTAGTTCCAGCTACTTGGAAGACTGAGACAGAAGGATCATCTGAAGCCAGCAGGTCAAGGCTGCAGTGACCATGAGCGTGCCACTGCACTCTAGCCTGGGTGACAGAGTGAGACTCCAACTCAAAAAAAAGGGGGGGGGGCATTTTAATTTTAATTCTAAAAATAGTAGGAAAGATATAGTTCTAGAATAAAATTAGCTTTATGAAAATTTGTTTCTAAAAAGCTCTCACTGTTGTGTTTTATTTTTCTCACATCACCATAGACTGGTGAAACTACACCTTTGACTAGCATTAACTCAAGGATTGGTGTTTGTCAGTCTCCACTTTTGAGTACTACATGCAAGTACACAGGTCTCAGGAACTCAATGAGAGCAGCTTCCATGTTGTGTCTTATAGATTGTGACAGACCAGCAGACAGGACAGAAGATCCAGATAGTCACCGCAGTGGACGCCTCCGGATCCCCCAAACAGCAGTTCATCTTGACCAGCCCAGATGGATCTGGAACTGGGAAGGTGATCCTGGCTTCCCCAGAGACATCCAGCGCCAAGCAGCTCATATTCACCACCTCAGACAACCTCGTCCCTGGCAGAATCCAGGTAAGGCCTGTTGACAAGTATTTTCAGCACTTTTGCTACCGAACTTTGTCTTTGACTTGTTCTTACCTCTGCACTAGAGGCCAAATCCATCCCTGGAAAGTCCTTAATGGACCTGCAAGTAAGACAGGTTGCTGCACTGGCCAAAGTAAAAACCCAGCAAACAAGTAGCAAGGCCCAGAAGTCAGCTGTAACACTCAGAGGGGATGGAAGATGAGCCAAGAGAAATCAGTGGAGCGGCTATAGGACACTAGCATGAGCGGCCAGTACTGAGGCCACTGGAAAATTATTATTACCTGAGGTTACCCGGTGGCAGCTCTTGGCCCATGATATTTTATTGTATCATTTTATTTTATTTATTTTATTTTGTTTTATTAGAGACAGGTGTTGTTCTGTATGTTTGCATTGTTGTACCACTGTCCATCTCTGTAACTACTTTCATCTTCCCAAATTGCAACTCTGTATTCCTTGTACAATTACTCCATCCTCTCCCCCTCCCCTATCCCCTGGTAACTACCATTGTACTTTCTGTCTCCATTAATTTGACTAGGTTCCTCATACAAGTGGAATCATAGAGTATTTGTCCTTTTGTGTGTGGCTTATTTCGCTCAGCATAACATCCTCAAGTTTCATTCACGTTGTACCATGTGTCAGAATTTCCTTCTTTTTTAAGGCTGAATAATATTCCATTGGGTTTATAGGCCATGTTTTGTTTATCTATTTATCTACTGGTGGACACATGAGTTACTTCCACTTTTTGGCTGTTATAATTAGTGCTGCCAAGGATCTTTGTGTTTTTAGGGGGACTTTCTGCTGCAGAGAAACTTAAGGAAGAATATTATTTTCTGATTGAGCTGGAATCAGAACACCCACATGTTCAGCTTTCAGAACTTACTTTTGAGACACCCCTCACTGCACTTAGTAAATACTATCTCATCCTTCCTTTCTCAGAGTATATTCTGCTCATCTAAAATCAGAATTCCTCCCTGCTTATTTAGAATACTCCTTTTGTGAAAGGATGGTTATTGATTTTGTTGCATATTTCACAAGAAGTGATTCTATATGATACATTCTTCATATGTTCCCACCATGCTGAAATCATTTCGAGGCTTATCAATGACTTGAATTCAAGTACATTTTTGAACAACAGCTATGTTTTCATATTCTGTTGATGTCAGGGATAGTATTCTCCCAGATGAGTAGCACTGTCACCTAGAAAGTCACCACAAATGAGGGGGATATCACAGGGTTCAGAGGTCATCTATTCTAGTTATTTCTCTACCAGCTGCCTCAATCTGTAGGATACCTAGTTATTTAATTAATAAAGCTTGGTTATTTTTCTGCTAAATATACCTCTTTGCATACATTCAAGCTGTATTGTGGGAACGAAGAAGCCGCTAGAAGAACCTTAACTATCTTCATTTTGGAACATTTGTGTGTGATTTCTTCCCATGGCCCCAGTTTGGGTAGCCAGATAGACAAGCAGCTCAGTGGAAATCAGTGCCTGACCCTGGAAACCTACCCAGATAAAGAAGCCCAGTCTAGATGAGCAGCAAGGATATTCTAGGTATCAGAGTCAGTTGTTACCTGGAACTTTCCCAGTTGGGCCCAGAGTTCTCCTGCCTAGAAACCAGGATTAGGAATTTATCCTTAAACATTACTTTGCTTCGTTATCTGTTCTTTAATTGGCACTCTATTTGTTTCCTGATTTCTCTCAGATCGTCACGGATTCTGCCTCTGTGGAACGTTTGCTGGGGAAAGCAGACGTCCAGCGGCCCCAGGTGGTGGAGTACTGTGTGGTCTGTGGCGACAAAGCCTCTGGTATGTTATCCTGGGTTATACTGGGTTATCATGACCCAACAGTAACTGTTGTGAGGCAAGGTGGGAACATTTTCTGGGCCGGGCTCAGTGACTCAGCTTGTAATCCCAGCACTTTGGGAGGCCGAGGCAAGTGGAGTGCCTGAGCCTGTAGGTTTGAGACCAGCCCAGGCAACTTGTCTCTACAATATATCAAAAATTAGCCAGCCATGACAGCACACATCTGTGGTTTTGGCTAATTGGAAGGCTGAGGCAGAAGGATCGCCGGAGCCCAGCAAGTCAACACTGTGGTGGCCGTGAGTGTGCCACTGCACTCCAGCCTGGATGACAGAATGAGACTCCAACTCAAAAAAAGAAAGAACATTTTCTGTAGGTTTCAAACATGGATTTCACTTTTCTTATTGGGGCAGTGATATAAATAAACAAAGCAGCTAATCAAATTATTAAAATCAAAAAGAAAATTCAAGAAAGTATTTCTGTGATTTGTAAAACTTGGTTGAGTGTCTAGTATTTATATGCTACTAAGAAAGTCATCATTATTTAATCTAGTTAACATTTGCACGGTACTTTTCTATTTTATAAGATGTGTTATTTATATAATCCCCCTTTATCACTGTTACTGTCTCTATCATCTCCTCATTATAAGCCACTGTGATAAACTTCTATAATCAAGGAAGAGGAAGCATGGGATTCTGGCTAGAGTCCATGATTGTAAAAGCCCCACAGAGGCAGTTACATCTGGGAGCTGTGGTGGTTGAGTGTGTGCATAGTGGGGGAAGCAGGAGAATGGCATGCCAGCTAGTGGAGCCAGGTGCTGGGGAGTTATGTCTGTACCTACGGTGGGAGACAGCTCATGTGTCGGTGACCAGCACTGACCAAGGGTGGGTTAGGACCCGCACCAGAGAATCTGGACAGCGAGAAGACCACTCGGAGG